TAAAAGTAATTTTAATCGGAAACACAGCTGGCAATATTTGGTTTTTAATTCGGCTTTTATTGGGGTTTATATTTTTGTATTTCTGTATTTTTGTATTTTGTGTATAGTATTTGTTTTTTAATATGCTGTGAACCGCCCTGAGTCCTATGGGAGAAGGGCGGTATACAAATTAAATTAACATTAACAAATTAACATTAACCAAGGCATTGTAAAGTGGTATTAACACTTCATGTCAATACCATAGTCTTATTGTGGAGGTAGGTTGGAAGGACTTTGAAGAACTTCTATGGAGATTCTCAATCATCCAGATCATCGTTGCCCCAAAAGGCAACTAGACTTTCTTGGTTTTTATTTTCTTTTGAAAATATTTCACTTCTACTACTTGGAAACCACTTCTGGACTTTATGCACGAGGTGGGGAAAAATGAAACTTTGATTTTGGGGGGGGGGTTGTTTGAGGTTGTATGTTATTACCGTATTCTATTGCACCAAAAAGAATCAGAAGTCAATCAATCAGAATAGAGCTGGAAGGGACCTTGGAGGTCTTCTAGTCCAACCCCCTGCTCAAGTAGGAGACCTTGTACAATACTTCTTTTTCTTTTTTCTTTTACCCTACGCTTTTTCTTTCCTCTTCACCTTTCTTTTTCTTTCTTTCTTTTTCTTTCTTTCTTTCTTTCTTTCTTTCTTTCTTTCTTTCTTTCTTTCTTTCTTTCTTTCTTTCTTTCTTTCTTTCTTTCTCTTTCTTTCTTTCTTTCTTTCTTTCTTTCTTTCTTTCTTTCTTTCTTTCTTTCTTTCTTTCTTCCTTCCTTCCTTCCTTCCTTCCTTCCTTTTTCTCCTTCCTTCCTTCCTTCCTTTTTTCTCCTTCCTTCCTATCTTATTTATTGTATATGCCGTCCATTTTGCCAAGACCTGACTCGTCAAGAGATCTACTTTTTGGTATTACTGTCCAAGGACTCCACACTAATTGTGCGCCTGTGTGGTTTCTTTCTACAGACACATTGGTGTGCTATCCTTCTCGTGGTTTTGACCTTAGCAGCCATGATGGCTGGCACAGTCTTCCTCTTTGGAAGGACAGTTAGCAATGAATCAGGTAATGTGTGTGTGTTTGGGGGGTGGGGGGGGAAGTGTGTCTACTTTTTAACACACCCAACTTGGCTAGGAAAATTTTGAACAGTTAATGCAGAGTTTCTCAACCGTGTCAACTTTAAGAGGTCTGGACTTCAACTCCCAGAATTCCCCAGCCAGCCATGGCCTTTGAACTCCATAAATTCACATGCAGGAACCTTCTTGGGTGAGCATCAAATAGGAGTAGACCAGGGGTCTTAAAACGTGGCCCTTTTATGACTTGTGGACTTCAATTCCCAGAATTCCTCAGCCAGGCACGCTGGCTGAGGAATTCTGGGAGTTGAAGTCCACTCCTCTTCAAGTCTATATCAGGGGTTTTCAAACTTGGCCCTTTTATGAGTTGTGGACTTCAACTCCCAGAATTCCTCAGCCAGGCATGCTGGCTAAGGAATTCTGGGAGTTGAAGTCCACAAGTCATAAAAGGACCAAGTTTGAAAACCCCTGGACTAGACTGACCTAGCACTGTCCCCTGGCAGTCAGTATGTAAATATAATACATTTATCTTCCCTCGCAAGGTGGAAGTTATAGAAAAAAATTACACACAGGGGCATAATCTACCATATATACAGATAGTCTTCAACTTACAACAGTCTACCACTTTTCTAGGATGGTCGCGTACCACCTGCCAGGTGCCAATGTACCACAGGTGGTACCCGTACCACTGGTTGAAAAGCCCTGGACTAGATGACCTCCAGGGTCCCTTCCAACCACATTATGTTCTGTGATTCCCAGCAGATGAAAACTTCACCAGGATCTCTCGTGAGGCAGGAGCTGTGGAACATCAGGGGAAGAAACGACAGACTTCCTTTAATTGGGAAGAGGAGATTTATATCAAAACGCACCGGAAGAGGCCATGCTCTAGCTCTGGGGAGCTTTGCTAAGCTTCGGGCAAGCCGCCTCTGCCCCAACGCACACTTGTGGTTGCAGCACGGATAACACCAGCATCCCGCAATCCATCACACCAAAGGGCACGCAAAAAATACGGAGATTTTCTTACTGATGTGACCCCTCTAATTTTCCTTTTCTCCCTTTTTTATTTTTATTTTGGGGGGGGGGCTTGTTTCTTTTTTTAAAAAAAACAATTAATTAAAAAAATAACTATTTTAAAAAATTGCTTTGGAGGCCTGCTTGTCTCAGGATCGAAAGAGGCTGAGTTGGAGGTAACATGACGTGGGATCACCTCTGTGGGGACCCCAATTATTTGTGAGATAGACGTTGATAGATGATTGATACATACATACATACATACATATATATGTTTTCTGAGGTTTTCGCGGGTGTTTGTATGTAGGTCTTTGGTTATTCGGGTTATTCTCCCGCGTAAAATTGGAACTTGGCTTGTGACGTTTCGACGAAGTCCCATTCGTCATCTTCAGGCTGGTGTTTTCGGCTTCGTGCTTCTAGGAGCAATGTGTGATCGCAGCTGTTTCTTCCTTTTAACTGCCAGTGGGAGTATGAACTGATTGGGTGGGAGCTTGGCTGTGTTCTGATTGGGTAGAGGTGTGTTCTGATTGGTTAGGGGCTTGGCTGTGCTCTGATTGGATGGGGGGGTTGGCTGTGCTCTGATTGGCTGTGCTCTGATTGGCCAAGACACTTCCAATTTTACGCGGGAGAAAACCCGAATAACCAAAGACCTACATATATATATATATATTTTTGTGTTTGACAAAGAGTGGGAGACTAGTATAGCTATTTCAAGTTCTTTAGCTGCCCAGGTTCGAATCCTAGAGGGGTATGATTAGCTGATGAGAGCTAAAGAGCTTGAAATAGTTATACTAGTCTCCCACTAACTCTTTGTCAGCCACAAAAAAAATTGAATTTACAGTGTTCACAGTATGTGACGTCTGCCTGCAAAACATGCTCCAGTCTGTTCTGCGTTTCGCTCCAGTCTAGGAGCATGTTTTGTCTATAGATGTTGATATTTATATAGAAGATAGATAATATACATAAATGATAGATGATTGATATAGATAATATAGATGATATAAAGATGAGATGATAGATGATTGGTTGTATAAACAGAGGCATAGAATCAAAATCATGTGAAGTATTAGCACCGCTTTACAAAGCCTTAGTAAGGTCAAACCTGGAATACTGAAACCAATTTTGATCAGCACGTTACAAAAAAGATGTTGAGACTATGGAAAAAGTGCAGAGAAGAGCAACTAAGATGCTTAAAGGCCTGAAGACTAAAACGTATGAAGAACGGTTGTAAAATTTGGGAATAGCCAGTCTAGCGAAAAAAAGGACAGGGGAAGGGGGGGGGGACGACGATAGCAATATTCCAGGATTTGAGAGGCAGCCACAAGGAGGAGGGGGTCAATTTATTTTCCAAAGCATCAGAAGGCAGTGCAAGAAACAATGGATGGAAACTGATCAAGGAAAGAAGCAACCTGGAATTAAGGAGAAACTTCCTAACAGTGAGGACAATTAACCAGTGGAACAGCTTGCCACCAGAAGTTGTGGGTGCTTCATCACTTGAGGTTTTTAAGAAAAGAGTGGACAGCCACTTGTCTGAAATGATATAGGGACTCCTGCTTGAGCAAGGGGCTGGACCAGATGATCTCCAAGGTCCCTTCCAGTTCTATTCTATAGATATATAGATGACAGACATAGATGATAGAGATAAAATATAGAGATAGATAAATATAGATATGATATAGATGATATAGATAATAGATATAGATATTATGATAGACAGATAGACAGATAGACAGATAGACAGATAGATAGATAGATAGATAGATAGATAGATAGATAGATAGATAGACAGACAGACAGACAGACAGACAGACAGACAGATAGATGATATAGAGCTATGGAATTCTGGGAACCCATCTTAACTTGACTAAGGTTAAAAAACACTGCTTAGGGCAGGAATCTAAGGTAAGACATCCGCCACAGATGGTTGATTGACTTTTATTTGAACCTGGCCAACAAAGGAGACCAGCTCCTGGCTTCCATTTTGTTTGTAGGTTAGGAAATTTTCCTAACATTCAACCAGAATTGACCTCCAAAATTCCATATCCGGCATTCTGAATGGTGAGTGAAGCAGTCTTGAAGGTCTCCTGTGTGACCTCCTATCAGATATCTGAGAAGGACTATCGTCTTTGTACATCAGGGGTAGTCAACCTTGGCTCTTTTATGACTCGTGGACTTCAACTCCCAGAATTCCTGAGCCAGCTGTGCTGGCTCAGGAATTCTGGGAGTTGAAGTCCACGAGTCATAAAAGAGCCAAGGTTGACTACCCCTGTTGTACATCATGGTCATCTTCTCTCAGGGCTAAACCTGCTCTTGGTGGGCCAGTTCTAATTCCATAACCATGATCCTGGACTTCTCTTAAATCCTTCTCAAGGTTGGTGTCCACCAGGGGCCACCCCTTTGGTGACCACCAACCCCATCTCAGAGCCAACCGCTGATTCCTACCTCCCCGTTCCCAAATCCATAACCCGAATCGTTCGGCAAGTTCTCAGATCCTTCAAAAAAAAGGAGCCACTGCCCGTTTTCGCAAACCCACACATTCCAACTTTAATTTGGTAACACGGGGCCCAAGAGACGGGGCCCAACTGCTTCAGCCTGACCTCGAACTGGCTTTGCCAAGTACAGAAATCAAGAGTCAGAACAGTCTGATGAAAAAAAGGAGGCTGTCCGGTGGCTCTTTTATAACCCGAATTATAAACAGGGTTACTTTCTGCAAAGCTGGACGGAGAGACTTCGGCTGGACGGCAAGAGAACGCAAAGCTGCTCCCGCTGACTTTACTTCACATGTTCCTTGATGTATTTCCATCCTTGGTGTGTGTATTCGCGGCTCTTGGTGGGGGCGATGGAAAGTGCACTTATGGCAGTACGGACCCCTGCGGGGGGGAAAAAAGGATAACCAAAGTGAGAGGAATTAACTACCGTGTTTCCCTGAAAGTAAGGCCTACACCAGGGGTAGGCAACCTTGGCCCTTTTATGACTCGTGGACTTCAACTCCCAGAATTCCTGAGCCAGCCATGCTGAGGGGAAAGGGAGAGGTTTCCAACCTGAGCCATGCTGGCTCAGGAATTCTGGGAGTTGAAGTCCACGAGTCATGAAAGAGCCTGGCCTACACCAACAATAAGCCCTAGCTTGATTTTGGGGGGTGGGCCTAATATAAGCCCCACCCCCAAAATAAGCCCTAGTTTTGGGGTGAGGCACACCCCTAAAAATCTAGCTAGAGCGGGGGTGTGGGTGTGGAACTGCACCCCGCACCCGCTTACCGTTGCAGCCAGGCCCCTCCTTGCCGGCCCACTTCTTCTTCTGAGGCCTCTTCTGCAGTCAGGCCTGCATTTCTCAGTCACGGGGCTTTCCGGAAGGCCTCTGAAACCAAGAAACAAGCGATGGCTTCAATCCATAGCTCGGTTCTGCAAGTCCTCAGCAGCCGAGCACCAAACTATAGACTGAATCCATAGCTCAGTACTCGGCTGCAGAGGCCTTGACTGCAAAATGCAGGCCCGAGTGCAGCTGCAGAACTTCGGCCCCAGAAGAAGTGGGCCGGCTGGGTGGGGCTGTCGGTGCCGGAGGTGAGGTAAGGCCTACCCCCCAAAAAAGACCCGGTGCCTCTTTTGGAGGCAAAAAAAAAAAAAGACCCGGTCTTATTTTCGGGGAAACACGGTATCCACTCGTGAGCTCGTGATTTGCTTTGCTTTGATGCTTAGAAAGGGTAGGATAGAGAAGGAAAAGAATAAAATAGAAATGCTGTAACGAAGGTTAGAAGCCTTTGTCCCAAAGGTGCTTTTTCTAACGGTAAACTTGTTTTTCCTTGAAGACATTTCACTTCTCCTCCAAGAAGCTTCTTCAGCTCTGAGAGATAAACCTCCAACTGGCCTCAATGACTCTCAGAGAGAGTGTTAACCACCAGATGACTGCAAGGCGTATAAATCCTTCCATTCCCCACCATTCAGTCAGAACTGAAGAAGCTTCTTGGAGGAGAAGTGAAACGTCTTCAAGGAAAAACAAAGTAAGTCCATTTGCCTTTTGAAAAAGCAACTTTGGGACAATCATGACCTGGATGACTAAGAATCTCCCTAGACCAGGGGTAGGCAACCTTGGCTCTTTTATGACTGATGGGACTTCAACTCCCAGAATTCCTGAGCCAGCATGGCTCAGCTTGGAAACTCTCCCTTTCCCCTCAGCATGGCTGGCTCAGGAATTCTGGGAGTTGAAGTCCACGAGTCATAAAAGAGCCAAGGTTGCCTACCCCTGCCCTAGACAATTAGAAGTGTTTCCTTTTCTTTCCTTTCCACTCTATTTACTTCCTTTCCTTCCCCTTTTTCTCCTTCCTTCCTTTCCTTCTATATCTAGTTACTTCCTTTCCTTCTTTCCTTCCTTCATCTCTTTCTAAGCTTCCTTTCTTCCTTCCTTCTCTCCCTCCCTCTTTTCCTCCCTTCCTCCTTCCCCTCCTATCCTTTTCTCCCTCCTCCCTTCCTTTTCCATTTACTTATCATTTTTCTTTACTTTTTTCACTTTCTTTCTTTCCTTTATGTTGTTTTGACGTTGTAAAAACAGGTGTTTTTTTACATTTTTGACTTTGTAAAAAATGTCTTTAATAATAATTTGTGACTGCGGCAACAGTCCTAAGTGTGAAAAACGGTTTTAAAAAAAAATCATTTTTTTCGTTGCTGTTGTAACTTTGAACAGGTACTAAATGAATGGTTGTTAAGTCAAGGAGTACCTATATATGTTTTATTTGGATTAAGAAATTATATGATATACTGTTGCTGTTATTACGTGATGGTTTGGCATGTATACCTTTATATTTTTACTTCTGTATCTTTCTTCTTTTGTTGAAATAAAACAAGTGTGATTTTTATATAATAATAATAATAATAATAATAATAATAATAATAATAATAATAATAATAATAATAATAATAATAATAATAATAATAAAAAGTTGGAAGGGACCTTGGAGGTCATCGAGTCCAACCCCCTGCTCAGGTAGGAAACCCTATACCCTTTTGGACAAATGGCTGTCCAGTCTCTTCTTAAAAACTTCCAGTGTTGGAGCATTCACCGCTTCTGGAGGCAGGTTGTTCCACTGGTTAATTGTTCTCAATGTCAGGAAATTTCTCCTTAGTTCTAGGTTGCCTCTCTCTTTGATTAGTTTCCATCCGTTGCTTCTTGTCCTGCCTTCAGCTGCTTTGGAGAATAGCTTGACTGCCTCTTCTTTGTGGCAGCCCCTGAGATATTGGAAGACTGCTATCCTGTCCCCCCTCGTCCTTCTCTTCGTTAAACTAGACATACCCAATTCCAGCAGCCGTTCCTTATATGTTTTAGCCTCCAGTTCCCTAATCATCTTTGTTGCTCTTCTCTGTACTCTTTCTAGAGTCTCAACATCTTTTTTACATTGTGGTGACCAAAACTGGATGCAGTATTCCAAGTGTGGCCTTACCAAGGCATTGTAAAGTGGTATTAATTTCATGTGATCTTGATTCTATCCCTCTGTTAACACACACATATATATATATGTGTGTGTGTGTTAAATTTAGATTTTGCTGACAAAGAATTAAAGGGAGACTAGTATAGCTATTTCGAGCTATTTAGCTCTCATCAGCTAGCCAAATTTAAATCTATATATATGTATTGAAGAGAGTTGGAAGTAATTTTTATTATTTATTTTTATTATTTTGGGCGTTTCTTTTTCTTTTTTTTAATATCACGTTTCAAACTTTCCCTACTGTTCCCCTCCTCCACCTTTCCTCTTTCGTTGAAAGTTTGTATTTTAACCTTTTTTATTTTTTGCAATGAAATAAAATTCTTTTTAAAAAGTAACATGTCGGAGTTAGAGGCCGTCACATCTGGTAATTGCTGGCTGGGCTCACACCAAACAAGGTGAACAACAGCAGTGCGGATGTGCGACCACACAACCTCACACCCCTTAGCGCTGTTTTCTAGCCATGCTTTTTAATACAGTCCACATGGCTTTCCCACTTTCAGAGAAACCCATTTAACACCCCCCCACCCTAGTTAACACCCCCACCCCACCCCATACCTGAGTTCCAGGCATTGCAGAGAGAAAATTCAGTTTTTGGGACCTCTGGGAGCTACGGAAATGAAAGAGGAAAACATATTGAGACATTTGTCAGAAAAGGGCTAAGTCTGAGCTGAGAAAATGTGGGAGAAGCAAGGGGAAAAAGAACAAAGTCTGATGTAAAACATACCAGCTGCTGCCAAAGATTCCACTATACAGACAATCCTCGGAGTTACGAACGGAATGGAGCCGGCCCGTTCCGTTCATAACCCGAGGATTTGTAGGAGTGAATCGCGTATCTTGAACAGAATCGCTCCCTACTTTTGCCCAGGCATTCGCCAATCGAATGCGCAGTTCGTTAAGTACACATGAGGTATCGCAGGGTGGGGAAGTCCATGGGGGATTGGGGGGTGGGCTAGTGATGGAACAGGCCCCTAGGGTCTCCCCAACCCACTGAGGTACCTCATGCTTCCCCACTCCGATCCTGCTGTGCCAGACTCACTTGCCTTGCCAGGATCTGCCTCCCCTCTGCCGCAATTTCTTTGCCTTTAAGAGGACGATTTCCCTTCCAGCCCACCAGGTGAGTTGCAAATGTTTTTAGTGCCAGGAGTTGTCGTGATCTTGAGTGACATATTATATTATTATTATTATTGTTGTTGTTAACAACAATAATAATAAAGTTGGAAGGGACCTTGGAGGTCATCTAGTCCAACCCCCTGCTCAGGCAGGAAACCCTATACCACGGGTAGGCAACCTTGGCTCTTTTATGACTCGTGGACTTCAACTCCCAGAATTCCTGAGCCAACCACGCTGAGGGAAAAGGGAGAGGTTTCCAAGCTGAGCCATGCTGGCTCAGGAATTCTGGGAGTTGAAGTCCACGAGTCATAAAAGAGCCAAGGTTGCCTACCCCTGCCCTATACCATTTCAGACAAATGGCTGTCCAGTCTCTTCTTAAAAACCTCCAGTGTTGGAGCATTCACCGCTTCTGGAGGCAGGCGGTTCCACTGGTTAATTGTCCTCACTATTAGGAATTTTCTCCTTAATTCCAGGTTGCTTCTCTCCTTGATTAGTTTCCATCCGTTGCTTCATGTCCTGCCTTCAGGTGCTTTGGAGAATAGCTTGACTCCCTCTTCTTTGTGGCAGCCCCTGAGATACTGGAACACTGCTATCATGTCCCCCCTTGTCCTTCTCTTCATTAAATTAGACATTTCCAATTCCAGCAGCCTTTCCTTATATGTTTTAGCCTCCCGTCCCCTAATCATCTTTGTTGCTCTTCTCTGTACTCTTTCATCTTTTTTACATCATGGTGACCAACACTGGATGCAGACTTCAGATACCCATTCTCTGCAAAAGCGGATGTGTGCCCAAATACAGTAACAATAACAATAACAGAGTTCGAAGAGGCCCTTAAGGTTTTCTAGTCCAGGGGTCTGAAATGGTATAGGGTTTCCTACCTGAGCAGGGGATTGGACTAGATGACCTCCAAAGTCCCTTCCAACTTTATTATTATTATTATTATTATTATTATTATTATTATTAATTATTATTATATTAACCCCCGGTCCATGGACCAGCACCGGACTACGGCATGCCAGCAACCGGTCTGCACAAACAAGCAAAGCCCCATCCGTGGGATGCAGGCAAAACCTCTCTCCACGGAACTAGTCCCTGGTGTCCAAAAGTTTGGGGACCTGTGTTCTAGTCCAACCCCCTGAAGTCGTGCAAGATCACACACCCCCAGAAGCTTTCGCTTTCGGCGCAAAAAGCGTTTGCAAGCTGACTCTCCTCTCCCTCAAAGGCAAAGAAACCGCAGCAAAGAAGAGGCACAGATCTTTGCAAGGTGAGTCCGGTGTGACAGGATGGGAAGGTCAAGGAGTTGTGTGTGTGTGTATGTGTGTGTGTGAAATAGGGTGAACCTTGCACACCCTCTGCGGTTGTTTGTAAGGGCGAACCACTGCCATGGTGATGCAGCATTCATAATTTTGGGACTTGGTTGTAAACACTAGGGGGCGCTTATCACATAACTCCAAATGGACGCTAAGTGAACTGTCGTAACTCGGAGATTACCTGTATTTATGCTGCAGCCATCATAAAGCGTCCAAAGACTGATCCTGTGACTCTGGGGACGCTACAGCTGTCATTTAAGTGTGAGAACTGGCCCTTTTTTCAGTGCCGTGTATAACTTTGAACAGTTACTAAATCGTAACTGTCGTAAGTTGAGGACTCCCTGTATTCTAATATTTTCTTCCTGGCATCTTGGTCTGGAGATTCCCACTTCTAGTTCTGCAGCCCCCCCACCCCAAAGTCTGTCCAGGACCTGTGTCAGGCCTGAAGATGATCCGACGGGATGCTCTGGGCTCACCTGCCAGCCGAAATATTTTGTCCATTCTTCCACAGCTGGAGGAACAGCTGCTTTGGCTTTATGGAGGGCTTGGGCACCTTTATCGCTGCCACCCAGCAGCCCCTGGGAGTAAACCACGAAGAGGGCACCGCCAGCCAGTCCTGCTTTGGCCATCCACCTGGGCGAGAAAAGAAATAGGGTCCTTTGGAAGTATGTTCAGGGGGTACGAGCAACGATAAGATGACCCCCAGCTGCCTCCAAGACCCCTCCATCCAAAGCAGCCCCCCCTCCAGACTCCTCCATCCATAGCAGCCCCCCTCAAGACCCCTCCATCTACAGCTGCCCCTCAAGACTCTTCCATCCACAGCGACCCCCCTCAAGACCCCTCTATTCANATCCACAGTAGGCCCCCCTCCAGACCACTCCATCTACAGCTGTCCCTCCAGACCCCTCCATCCACAGCTGCCCCCAAGAGCCCTCCATCCACAGCTGCCCCCCTAAAACCCCTCCACCCACAGCTGCCAATCAAGACCCCTCCATCCACTGCAGGCCCCCCTCCAGACCCCTCCATCCACAGCTGCCGAAGGGCTGAACCTTTTCATATGACAGGAGGAAATGACCTTGTAAAGATAAAGTGGGCGCAAATTCAACAGGGAAAGCTCTCCCAGCCTGCAAATGCAGCCTGATCTGTTGGATTCTTCGCTCACCCTCCACCCAACCACCGGCTCTTCCTTGGCCAGGACGAAAACTGCCTTAAGAGCGAGCAAATCGAACCCGGAGCCTAAACACCTCATCTCAGTCTCGACTGTGCAAGAGGTGCGGACTTCAACTCCCAGAATTCCCCAGCCAGCATATGCTGGCTGGGGAATTCTGGGAGTTGAAGTCCACACCTCTTACAGTGGCCACGGTTGACCTAATCAAGAGCAATACAGGTCATCTTCAACTTAATTCGTTTAGTGACCGTTCAGAGTTACAACAGGACTGAAAAAAGCGACAGACGACACAGTCACACGATCAAAATTTGGACGCAGGGCAACCGGGGTTCATATTTATGACGGTTGCGGTGTCCTGAGGTCACGTGATCCCTTTTTTTTTGCGACCTTCTGACAAGCCAAAGTCAAGCCAGATTCACTTAAGGACCGTGTTCCCCACTTAGGCACTGCCACGATTCACTTAACAACTGCAGCACAAAGGGGGCAGCGTTCACTAAAACTCAACGTTTCGCTTCGCCACAAAAATGTTGGGCTCCATTGTGGTCCTAAGTCGAGGACTACCTGGCTAGGAATTGAATGGGTGACAGGGCAATTTTGCAAAACGTTTTGCATCACCATTTCCCCCCCAAAAAAAGATCTGCCTATGGAAAGACTCCATGGGGCAGGGGACGGTAGGGGCATCCCTCCCTCCCCTTAAGGGTCTTAAGGAGAGGAATGTCGTGAGAATCCCTTGCAATCCCGTGTATTTTTGTTGCCTAAATCAAACGAATCTGCATCTCTGCAAAGAAATAGTTGTGACATGGGATGATGGGGAGGACAGGCTGGAAGGAGGGAGGGGCTCAGCCGAACTAAGGGCTTCCAGATCGTGAGAATCCCCCAGATCCGAAGCTGAGGATTGGGGGGGGTCCCATCTCGCGGCTTTTCCCCTCCGAGCCCCCCGTTTCCCCTTGTCTGCCGTTACAAAACCATCTTAAGCCCGCCCGACTCACTTGAGCAAAGGGAATGTGCGGGGCGCCATGACGGAGCGATGCCTCTTCCAAGGGCAGCCCTGCGCCCGACCGCGCCGTTTCCTGCCAGCGACCGCCCCTTCTCGCGGGACCTTTCGGGAATTGTAGGCTGAATGGGGAGGCGGATGACGCGGCGGCCGGCCGCCGGGGTTGCCGAGGCAACACTGTTGAGTGCCAGCGCCTCGCTTCCCCAACCTGCCGCCCGGGAGCGCAGCCCTTCCAAACTCTGTATTGTTCGCTCTTTAAGGAATGCAGCTCGGTTCATACCACGCACTAAACCTAGGTTGGGTCGGTGGGCGTTTAACGAGTCGTGGGAACCCTGCCTTGTCTTAGCATGGGTGAGCTAGCTAGACCATCAGTTGAAACCATGGTACCCATGTTTAGCTTGTTTGCCAGGTTAGAACATGCAACGTTTAGTCCCATTAAACTAGTAACATATAATAATAATAATAATAGTAATAATAATAATAATAATAATAATAATAATAACAACAACAATAACAACAACAATAATAACAATAACAACTACAACTACAATAACAACAGCAATAATAATAATAATAAAGTTGGAAGGGATCTTGGAGATCATCTAGTCCAGGGGTAGTCAACCTTGGCTCTTTTATGATTCGTGGACTTCAACTCCCAGAATTCCTGAGCCAGCACAGCTGGCTCAGGAATTCTGGGAGTTGAAGTCCACGAGTCATAAAAGAGCCAAGGTTGACTACCCCTAATCTAGTCCAACCCTCTGCTCAGGCAGGAAACCCTACACCATTTCGGACAAACGGCTGTCCAGTCTCTTCTTGAAAACTTCCAGTGTTGGAGCATTCACCGCTTCTGGAGGCAGGTTGTTCCACTGGTTAATTGTTCTAACTGTCAGGAAGTTTCTCCTTAGTTCTAAGTTGCTTCTCTCCTTGATTCTGAACCCTTTAAACATCTTTTCAATGCTGTCACTGTCTCCTAATTCAATTTTCCACCTTAGTGAAGCATGCTGACTGCCATTCAGCAGCAGAGGTCAAAAAAGTCAAGATGGTGGCCTCAATGCCCTGCTCTTTTTACATATGTCCAAAAAGCCAAGGTGGTAGACACCGCATGCCATCAAAGACCCATCTTTTTTACAAGCATTGCGACATAAAATAGGGCTGGGACTTCAGTTACAGGCTTGTGGGCGCCATCTTGACTTTTTTGACCCACACGCAGGCTTCTTTATTGTATCTGACTGATTACAGCCCCATTGAATGGGCCATGACATCATCCATGTCTTGCCATCATTGTACCAATGATATAAATCAGGATTTTTCAACCTCAGCCATTTTAAGACGGGTGGACTTCAACTCCCAGAATTCCCCAGCAGTAGTAGTCTTTTTCTTTCTACAACTGTCTGAAGTAGATGCACCCCCAGGAACTTTTATCTAAAACAGTGTTTCTTCAATGTTTTTCTCTTAGAATTCCTTCTCATTTTTAAAAATTATGGAGGGCTCCCAACAGGTCTTTTGTTTCTGTTATTAAGTGAGGCGATTGTTAAGTGAGTCACACCTGATTTTATGACTTTTTCTGCCACTTTTTCTGCAAATCCCCAACTGAACCATGTGGACGTAAATACTGGTTGCCAAGTGCCCAACCTTTGGTCAAGTAACTATGGGATGCTCCAGCAGTGATGATGATGATGATGATGATGATAATGATGATGATGATGATGATGATGATGATGATGATGATGATAATAATAATAATAATAATAATAATAATAATAATAATAATAATAATAATGAAGTTGGAAGGGACCTTGGAGGATAAGACAAGGATAGAGAAAGCTCGAACAGCATTCTTCAAAATGAAAAAGGTCCTCTGCAGTCACGACATAAGCCTAAGACTGAAAATCAGGCTTGTCAGATGCTATATTTTCTCTATCCTGCTCTATGGAGTAAAGAGTTGGTCTCTGACAGAAGGCCACCTGAAGAGACTAGAAACATTTGAAATGTGGATTTACAGGCAGCTGTTACGTATAAGCTGGGTTGACAAGATCAGAAATGAGGAGGTGATAAGCCGCCTGGGAAAGCCAAGGGAAATCATCAAAACAATTAAAAAACAAAAATTAGAATATTTAGGACATGGGATGCGACACCCAGAAAAATACGGCATACTCCCATTTAATCCTCCAGGGAAAGATTGAAGGCAAACGAGGTCCAGGCAGAAGAAGAACATCATGGCTTCAAAATCTAAGGGACCGGTTTGGACAAAACTCAGCAGCACTTTTTCGTGCGGCTGCTGATAAAAACAGGATCGCCAACATGATCGCCAACATCCGATAACGGATATGGCACAAGAAGAAGAGGGTAGTGGGTTGGTTTCCGAACGTTTCGTTACCAGCCTAGGTAACATTTTCAGTGGCGTTAGGGGATGTCTGTATTTGTAAGGGCTTCAGGTGTTGGGTGTGTGAAATGAGGGTCTTGTGATGGGCCAGGTGTGAGTCATCAGAGAGGCTTGCAATGGGTCTTGTGATGGGGAGGTTACAATGGGGGAGAGTCATTGGGAGATGAAGCGCTGGTGGGAGTGGGGGATTGTGCGGGATGGACGAGGGTCGATGCTGTGTCTGGTTGGCTGTGCGGTTGATTTGGATCCTGAGGGGTTCGTAGGCCGGTTGTCAGTCATGGTGTCTGTTGATGGCATTGTTGGTGGAGTGCCAGGCTTCGGTGAACTCAGGAGCGTGGCCGATGATTTTAGTGTTGCTCCAATCAAACGGTTTTCAGGAAAACCATTGTAAAATGCAGTCATGTGACCACGGGACGTGGCAAATGGCTGTAAACGCGGCTTTGTTGCCACGTGGCCAACGTTCAGTCACGTGATCACAGGAATGGGTCCAACTGTCAGAACTTTGAATCCAGTTCCCCTTTTTGGGGTCAGTCGTAACTTCGAACAGTTTTCATTTCTTCTATGATAAGGTGTCCAACCTTGTCAACTTTAAGACTTATTTCAGAATAACGGAGTTGGAAGGGACCTTGGAGGTCTTCTAGTCCAACCCCCTGCTCGAGCAAGTGACCCTATAACCACTGCAGACAAATGGTTGTCCGGTCTCGTCTTAAAAACCTCCAGTGATGGAGCACCCACAACTTCTGGTGGCAAGCTGTTCCACAGATTAATGGAAAACTGAAAAAGACTTATGCTAAACGCCAGTGAGTTAGGGGGTGGGAGTTTAAAACCGAAGCAAAGAAAACGTTTTCCCAGTCTGGATTTATTCAAATAATTTCCACTTTATTCAATAAAAGTCATCAGATTGTTAAGACCACAGCAAGAAGCTGGACGCCAGATGAATTCTGGAAAGATTGCCACCTGCAAATATTTTGAAACCATTGCAGTGAGAACTTAAAATGGAAGCAGGAAGAGAAGGGAGGGCAAGGGGAATACCTCATTTTGACATGTGCTCATTTGTCCTCTTCGTTTTCTTTCAACCATGTTTGAAATATCCTTTTCAAGTCAGCAACGGGGATCGGGGGAATGACAGGTGGGTATATAGATATAGATTTGTTTATTTATTTTTCAAAATTAAAAGTTCGGCCATCATGAAAGTACTCCATAGCAGAATAGAACAACATTGTACAAATCACGTACGGAATTGACGGTTAAGTATAAAAGACCTGTATTTACAACTGTAAACGTGGACTTCAGGGAAGAAAACAGAATTAAACAAGCAATCGCCCACGTCATTCACACAACCTCGCTCTCACTCTGCCTGGCGCTTTGCAAAGCTGAAGGGCCAAATGGACACTTCATTCGCCTCCAGATGGATTGGTAAACAGATGTAATGGAGCTGGTGTGCACTGACTTGCAGTGGGCGTTCTCACTGAGATCTAGCAGCTTGGGAGATTTTTAACCCATTCGGAAATTTCCTTCGGTAGGATGCACGGAAGCCATCAACTATTTTTTTGTGTGACTAGACAGCATTTCCTTCACAAAACCCAGGTCTGGGCAATCCTATGTTGGCTTAATTGTGGTTTACAGAATCAGCCACAAATCTGTTGAATCCAAAGAGCCCACTAATCTAGGAATCATGGTTTACAAGCTGGATTCCTACACCTCGGTAAGTTACAACTGCACAATTTTTTTGCACGAACAGATTAAACTTTAACTGGGATTTTTTACTGTATTTTGAGTGAGCGTCGCTATTTTTTTTCCCCGAATCAAAAGTACCTCATTGGTATTAGAGCGTGATCAACAATTTGACTTTTAAGTTGATCCATAGAAATTGAACGATTCACATATATATCTTCATGCACTGATGATGTTACCTAGTTGGGTAATGAAACCTCTGCAAGAAAACAATTAAACTCAGAGAGCACCAAGGACCCCACTGAATCATTTTGATAGATCGACTATATCAATACAAGTGTATCAACTCAGAAGTAGCTTTGCACTACTCAAATTCTCCCAAACCCATATGTAACAGAATAACAGAGTTGGAAGGGACTTTGGAGATCATCTAGTCTAACCCCCTGCTTAGGCAGGAAACCCTATACCATTTCAAACAAATGGCTGTCCAGTCTCTTCTTAAAAACCTCCAGTGTTGGAGCATTCACCGCTTCTGGAGGCAGGTTGTTCCACTGGTTAATTGTTCTCACTGTCAGGAAGTTTCTCCTTAGTTCTAGGTTGCTTCTCTCCTTGATTAGTTTCCATCCGTTGTTTCTTGTCCTGCCTTCGGGGGCTTTGGAGAATAGTTTGACTCCCTCTTCTTTGGGGCAGCCCCTCAAATATTAGAAGAGACTGCTATCACCTCACCCCTCGTCCTTCTTTTCATTAAACTAGACATACCCAATTCCAGCAACCGTTCCTTATATGTTTTAGCCTCCAGTCCCCTGGTCATCTTTGTTGCTCTTCTCTGCACTCTTTCTGGAATCTCAACATCTTTTTTATATCGTGGTGACCAAAACTGGAAGCAACATTCCAAGTGTGATCTTACTAAGGCGGTATAAAGTGATATGTATAGAAGGGAAGATTTTTTCTCGTCATGGATGTTTGACACAAACCAAAATGCTTGCATACAAAATAACAGTAATAATAATAATAATAATAGT